TAACTGAGATGCTTTTCACTACGATCTGTCACTTGCAAAGGTTTTAAATTGATTGATGGCATGACTCATTGGTTCAGGGGAATGTTTAGGGCAGTGAGAGTGGGGGGATGTCATTTATTGGCATGATGGTTCTCTGATATGTTTAAAGTAGGTGAAGTGATGGAAATTTTAGAGTTTTTATGGTACGTTTAGAGCAGTGGAGAGGGATTCATTAAATCAGTACTCTGCTCAGATATGTTATGTGCATTGTTATCCTAATTTAAATTCCCTATAACTAGTCCAATTTTCAGATATTTGTATTTTCTATTACTGAATGTCTACAAATTATTATTTCCCATTGACTGATATTTGAAGAATGATTTTTAAATTAGATTCCCAATTTGTTCTATTCAATGCAGCAAGAATGTACCATCAGAATACTGGCAACTGACAATCCAATACGATATGTAAACTTAAGCAAGGTAAGCAGATTTCACTGTTTGATCTCATAGTGATTGATGAGAATCATCTATGGATGGATGGAGAATTGTTTTAATCTTAATTAATCTATCACATGGCTTACTGTAACACCTCAGGTGTGCTTTGTAAAGGTCAAAGGTTAGATATATTTTATGATGATTATTGATTAATTCTACTGTGTGACAATTTTCATCTGCAATTTTTTTTTATCGTTTAGACATCATAAGAATATAATATCTGATATATTTAATTGATATGAATTATAGTCATAATATAAATATAGCAAAGGAGATCATATTCGGCTATAATATTTTTACATATGCCTCTCAGATGATATATATGAATTTTAATCTCAAAAACTTCCACATACTTATTAACAAACTCCAGTTGCACATTTTGTGAGGGCCGCCATCTTGGACAAGCGTTGCCTGCAAACACCAATCCATACAAATACCAATGAATGGTGAATGCCAATGTTCAATACATGCTTCACTAGACCACAAAAAAGCCTAGATGTTCCTATTCTAAACCATGTATGGAATTTGTGTGAAAGTGAAGGCATCTGTGTTGAACATCCAACTTTACTGAGCCAACATACGTTATAATAAGTATCCAGCAATGAATCCAAAGGTCATCGTTCCATGTTGTATGTTTGGATAGCTGTGAATCTGATACAAAGAAACATTGTACCTATTCACCTCTTTGTGTTACTCATACCTGATTAAAGCATTACACTAGATATCTTCTGCTTCTATTTTGAAACTATCAATGATATGTGCTGTATAGGGCCTTAATTATTCTCTGCATTTTATTTTCACTGACAATACTCTATAAAGCTTAATTATAAAAAAATACTGCAGACTCAAATATTATTATCGCTTATTTGGCTTATGACCAAATTGAGCTAAATTGAAACACCATAATCATTCAAATTTAACAATAGAATGTATTAATTGTTCTCTCTATCTAGTGAATTTAAAACCAAGTAAATATCCCTGTGACATCAAATTTGCTAAAATTAAATCGAGTGACTTTTTCTCCCTTTACAGTATATTGCCAGTTGTTAAGGCAGGTGGTGCATGTTGGTGGTGCATGTTTCGAGGCCATAGAAGTTTGGTCTATTATATACATTGCATGTTTTGCACACTGTTGAACCACCTCTATACTGGCAATAAAAACTTCAATAATCATCAATCATTTGCTCTACATTTAGCGTAATTTGGAGTTCTGCATGATGGATGTGACTTTAGGAAATTCTGAATACATTTAATGTAATTCATCTTATATATATATGTTGCTTTTTTGAACTTTTGACATGCCTTGCAGCTGTATCATTATCTCAGCCTACAGTTAACTTTAGGCCGACAACATCAATCTGGCTACTGAATTTTAATATTGAATTATTTAATTGAAACATACATAAATATTTTTAAAAACAATATTTTAGTTATTGCATGTGATTCATAAGGTGTCAAATGTTATAACTTGATGTATCCCTATCCCTTCAATCTTGCCTTCAACCAAAAGGTATATTATTCAGGATGGGGAGGGGTTGTATGTGGTGGAGTGACATAGTGATTGGTTGTAAATAATATTTATGTGTGATTAATTCACCATTATCATTTGTATTACAGTTTAGATTTGAGGCTATAAATGTCTTAGATTCAGTCTAGATACAACTACAGACCTGTATTTATATTTTAAGAGCCTGTAAAATCATTTGTTTTGAGAAAATCTTCGTTTTATGAGCACTCTTCATTCAGAAATATTGATCAGTGTTGACATGCATGGTTGCTATAGTGATAGAACTATTGTGAGAACACGTAGCAAGTTGGTTTAATTCTTTAGTAAACAAAGGAGCCCCCACACCGTTGCTAGAGAGACCTTATCACAGCTATGTACTTAATTGCACTATTTATTCCACAAGGATTACTTGCTGGGTTAGGGCATCTTAACGGTCGTCTAGGCGAGTTGTATTTTGACCTACATTGTTGTCAACACAATATAGAGTGTAGAGTACTTTTTTTTTAGAATGGTCGTACATTGTGAGAATGTTAATGAAGAATAAAACTTTGTTTTAAAACTCGATAGCATCATGTTTTAAAACTGTCAAACAATTTCAGAATTTATTGAGAAATATGTAGTTACATCAACTATTTGGTGCATGGCAAATTCTAGTTGAGATCTAGTCTCAGATTTATCTAAAATGTATATTTGTAATCAACATTACATGTATGTAATCTAAATGTGCTGTACATCCATAAAAACAAAGTAATTTTATATTGATGTAAAGAGGGCGCTTTTCTTTGAAAGTAATTGTACCGTAGATACTGCATATCTTTGAACAACATGCACTTCTATATATACACTTTATCTTATTTTCCCATTTGTAGGAAGGAATGTTAGGTGTTTTTGATGTTGGTCTTCACCTTGAACGTCACTATGAAGTCAAGACAGATAACGATGATCCTAGGGGGTCAAAACGTCGTTTCAAAACCTGGTACACAGATGCTGTATACATGGCTAATGTGAACAAGCTGGCATTGTCATCCACCAGTAGAGATATCAGATTCTGGGATGTCTCAACAAATTTGTATTTTGAAGAATTTCAGATATTTGGTAGGTATCAATTTGTTGCTGACATTTACACATTTAAACCTGTATAAATTGAACCCTATGTAAAGTAAATTTATGTTTATTAAATGAAATCAAACGAATAAATTATTATCACTCATCCATATATGGGGAGGGGGGGGCAAGGTTTATTTTTCATTCAACATAAATTGAAAAAATAAATTCCGTAATTCTGTAATCACAGGCTAGACGTACAACATAATCAATCAAATATTTTTTTCGTACACTGTAAAAATGTGTCATTTTTCTCTGTACATACAAGAATTTACATCCAAATAAAAAAAGTCGTAAAGAATAATCCAGGGAAATTACATTGTCGAAACTGTAAAATGACTAGATGACACAATTCACTGCAAAATTCAATTTTCACTGTAAACTGTAAAAACATCTTTTTTTCCTTGTAAATTGTAAAAAGCCTTTTTTATTCCCTGTAATACTGTAACAGCTACCCCCCTTGCGTCCCCTCATATATGCATAATAGAAACTGGCTGCTGTTTTAATTTACGTCAAGCTGCATTCAAATCATTGTACTGTCTTAGCAATTTTCTCAAATCAGGAACAATAGTGAGATTTATAGCACTGACCATGAACTGGAAGTCTAAATTCCACACACGTTAAGGGCGTCGGCCATCATACATAAACATTACACGTGTTGCGTATTACATACATTGTATTGGATTCATATTGAACACGATGAGTCTTGACACGTCACATTCGATGTGTGTTAAATATGTTTCTTTTCATAAAATTCTTTAATATTTATACAACATTGGAACAGGCGTAACACAATTACTTTAGTCTGGACACTGGATTTGAATAATTAGACAATATTTCTAACTAATACTAGAGATAACGTGTTTCTAGTCTTGGAAATGTGGATATGCAAGAAAAGTAAATGGTAGAGGAAACACACTCATTTTAGTTAATAATACGATGTAGGATTACTGACAATTATCTTATGATTTGATTTGCCAAATTACTGACCTAAAACAGATACTAAAGTAGAAAATTCTTGGATTTCTGGCAGTGTACTGTATATCAAATTGGCAAACATTTTCAAATCCACACTCATCTAAAACGTCAAACAGAATATCCTGAAACTGTTGCCGTAGAATGTTTTAACAAGACATCATTTCGCTGACTCCACATTTTGCTGAAAATCAGTAAAATATTAGTCAGAACATAATATTTTTTGTTTATTGATAATGATCATGTTTGCTTTTTAAATTGAGGTCAAAAAATAACAAAAGGCACCGTCAAATGGCACTGATAACAGTTGCTCATAGGATACTTATAGTTAATCTTTTCTTTTCTAGCTTTAACAGATGTGCCTACATGTTTGGACTACTGGTACGATAAAAAGGTAGATATCAGATCAATTTTGCAACAAATTTTTACAGTTAATGTTCTACAATTTCTCAATACCAAAAAGGTTGATGAACATCCTAAAATACTAGTTTACTGTTCTGACCATAGAGGGCGCTCTGACTAAGCATATTTCTGGTTTTTCCAACAGAGTCCTAGCAGCAAGTCATTGTTAGTGTTTGGTGATGACATGGGAAGCATTCATTTATTTTATTTTTCAAAACCACAGAATAGTTTATTTGCACAACAATTTACAAATGCTGAGGGAGTTAAAAAGATTTGGATGCAGGTAAGGTAAACAAAAACATTTTAGAGAGTTGGAGGCCATTTTTAATATTTTAATAACTGTGCATTTATTATCATAAATCATTCATCTTGTGCCAAGTTCACTGTAAAACATACTAAAGTATCTGTCAAGCTTTCACCAGTTCCACACAAAATCTGTTTCCATTAAAGATATTGTTCACATTTTGAACCAAGTATTTATACAAGTTTTTACAACTGATCGTAAAAGTTTTTTTTCCCCAGGATCTACCTCACCATAGCCGGTTCCTTCGCCATGTCGTTCTTAGTAATGTACATACTGAAATGTTAAGAAAAGTCAAGTATTTACCAGACAATGACTTTATATTATCATCCAGTGGAAGCAGTACAACCTCTTTAGTTATGCTAGATGTGCAGGGTAAGAAGAAAACATACACATTTAAAATGAGTAAGGTAAATATACCAATGTGTTTATTTATATGTGTATTCATGTTATTTAAAAACTTCAAATTGTATCTTGAATGCGCCGTTTCTGCTCAATTTAGCAGTGATCTGATCATGTGACTTTAGAAATTTGAAAAATTATGGTAATATAATAATAATTGGCGATATTTCTGCCATCCATATGGCATGAATTAAATTTTTAAAATTTGTTGGTTTGTTGCTTTTGTTCAATACAACTGTCTTTTTTCTTGTCTTGAATTTTCCCATGATGCAAACATGAAAACATTTCCAAATCACATTATTTCATATTTTCGATTCTGAGTTACAGCAAGCACAATAAATAATTATCTATGAATAATTAATTTGCTAATAATAGATTTACTTTACAGTCTGTCTGAATATCATTTCATTTTAGGGTGTGGAGTGTTTTGATTACAATAAACATCTGAATATCATAGCTACGGGTAATGTTGATCATTACGTACGACTCTGGAATCCTTATGTGACCGAGAAACCAGTTGCTATATTACGAGGTCACCAGATGGCAGTGGCTGACATTGTCATTCATGAGGAACTTGAGATGGTGTACAGTTATTGCAAAGATGCTGTAAGTTGAAACTATTTCTATCAGCAACTCATACACATACATGTAGACTGCCATTGTTGTCTCTGTATGCGTGTTCACATTTCATCTAAACAATGTTTCACACAGTTTGTATATTTCACATCACTCGCATCAAATGTGAAACAACGTAAAAACTGTAATGCAGACATTTCTGAGAAATATGTAAATGTTAAAATTATATTTCATTATCTCAAATTTTTTATTATGTTTTATCTGTGTAGATTGTAAAAGTATGGGATATCAAGGAACACACGTGTTTGCAGACTGTCACTATTAAATTCCCCTGCATTCAGAATGCAAGGATGCCAGAGTTTGGACCGTTCTCTTTACATTTACAACCCATGCCAGTAAACAGTCTTATTGTCTGCTGTGGCGATTACATCTCTAGTCTGAAAATGGGTAAAGCAGAACCAAAGAAAACAAAACAAGCCACAACACATGCTACTCAACTATGCTGCGCTTTGTACAATTCACATTTTAAGCAGGTCAGTATGAAATTCTGTTCTCACCCACAAAATGTTACTATGACAACATGAAACATGATGTACTAATGAATTGTAATGTTATGTAATGCAATTTATCGATATATTGTAATGTTATGTACTCATGCACTGTAATGTTATGTAATGCACTGCACTGTAATGTAATGTACATGTAACTTACTAATGCATTGAAATTTTATGTAATGTAATACTAGTATACTAATGTAATGTAATGTACTCATGCATTGTAATGTAAAGTTACTTACTGATGCATTGAAATTTTATATAATGTAATGTAATGTACTGATGAAATGTAATGTACTACTGCACTGTAATATTATGTACCGGTAATGTACTAATGCTTTGTAATGTAATGTAACTTACTGATGCATTGAAATTTTATGTAATGTTATGTAACTTTCTAATGCATTGATATTTTATGTAATGTAATGTACTAATGAAATGTAATGTATTTGCATTACAGGTTGTAACAGGGGCTGATGATTCCTCCATAGCTGTGTGGGATATTGACACAGGTAGTAAAAATCATGTATTATCAAATGCGCATGGAGATGAGGAAATCACTTGTATGGCATTTGACTCTGGTCTCAGAAGACTCATATCAGGAGCAAGAAATGGATCAATAAAGGTAATTAGTCATTAGTAATGTATTACAGTAGTGCTGGGGTAATAGACCACAATTTCTTTTTTCTAATTTGATTGTGAAAGAAAAAGGGAACAGAACAGCTTAAAAGATCTGTGTTCTAATCCAGTGCATGCATGCATATAATAAATAATCCATTGCAATTATACTGTAGAATACTTTATTTTCGCTTGGAATTTATTTTTGCTATTTTCGCTGAAGGGATGCTTCAGTGAAAATAAAATCCAGTAAATATAACTTTTTT